TTATACAGGCATAGAGTGCCCCCAAAAAATTAATAGAGAGGCAAGAAAAAATGAGGGAAATGTCACAAAAAGCGCTCCTTTGAACAGACTGTGACTCTTGTCACGCTGGCACGCTCCAACTATCCTACCAACTCCTCCTGGGCCCCTGTCTCTCTCTGTACAAAATTTCCTCCTCTTGAAAGCTGCTAGCTTATTTCTATTCACTCCTGTGACTCTATCAGGAAAAAGTCACATTGCTTATAATGTATTGTAGACTTTGTAAAGTATAATGTAAGTATTGTATATATATTGTAATAAAATTATAAAGATCTTACAGTTTCCTCCTCCAGAATGTTAAACCATTTACTAACAGCTGTTAGATTTAGGCTATTTACTTATTGTGTATTAAGATGAGAACTCTAGTAAGTTTTTAGCTTAGTATAATAACACTCTAGGAATCTCTGAACAAATGTAGGTCCTACAGGCTTGTAACTTGTACCATATTATGCCTTAAGGAGTTAATTAGCTGCCCTTTCAATATCATTATGACTGAATAGGCAGCTTTGATTAGAAGAGATCCAAATAAGTTCTGTAAGTGTCTGATTGTCCTCCTTCATTAAACAGCATTTTAAAGTATTAAACTCTAGGATAGACTTTATTCTAGCTACCCTATTCCTTAATGTTCCAACTGTAACCCCTTTAAACATACTAGCCACTCCTCTTAGTCCTAGACACACTCTCTGGGACTTTTTTTGGTCCAACTGATAAGCCTCAACTGTATTGGGAAAAAGTCAGATTCATAGTAATACATTGTGGACTTTGTAAAAGTAATATAAGTATTGTATATACATTGCAAATAACTGCAAGATCTTTATAATTTTATTACAATATATATACAATACTTACATTATACTTTACAGAGTCTATAATACATTATAAGCACTGTAGCTTTTTCCTCATGTGCTTGACTCATATTCCTCTCCCTTTCCTCCAATTCCTCCCTTTTTTTAGAGATTTAAACTTAGCATGCTTGACCATAGTGTACTAAGCAGAATAGAGAGTGAGCAAGCAGAAAAAAAGAGTAAAAAAACACTAATTTATTAGCAAGGGTATGGCAAATGCTCTGACACGATTCTCATACAAAGGTTTGGCAAATTACATCATTGTGTCGATCATTTCTCTTTCTGTCACGCTTTCTTGACTTTTCTTAATGTTTACTTTTAATAAATTGTACAACTCAGTGTATTAAAATAAAAACTGCATAATTGTATATTTTGGATACTAATAATCATATATGCAAAGTTTCAACTTGAT